CAGAGGACTGCCCATCTGAAACCACGTCCACACAGGGCGTTCTGGAGTCCACAAGCCTTCGGAAGCCCGGGCTTAAAGGGCGTAAGAGGGGGCAGGTGACGAGTGGGTTTGGTGTCAAGATGCCACAGGCGGGGCTGAGAAGAGCCTGGCCATTCTCCCTTGTTCATCTCTGTCGGCAGTCAGGGAAGCAGCATCGCTCAGCGGTGTGTCTCAGTGGTTGCGCGTTGACCCATGCACCAGAAGGTCACTGGTTTGATCCCGGCCAGGGCACACGCCCAGGTTATGGGCCCGATCCCCACTGTGGGACATGCAGGAGGCAGCCGATCAATGTTCTCTCTCATTCATGTTTCTACCTCTCCCTTCCTCTCTCTCTCAAATCAATAAAAAAAAATTTTTTTTTTAAAAAGAGAGGCACAGTATCAGTGACAGTTGCAGGCTGGGGACTGGAAGACCTGGCTTTGGTTTTTGACTCCGGTACATACTGGAAATGTGGCCTTGGGCAAACCCACAATCTCTCTGAGCCCCGTTCCCTAGTTCCCTTGTCTGTAAAATGTGATAAAGGTATTAGGACAGTAACATTATAATGACTCAGAATTATTTTAACTACCAGTTCAGATACTATATTAAGTCGCTTGGTAAATAATAAAATACATCATAAAATGTAAGCCGATATCACCATAGTATTCTACTTCTGGAATAATTTACATCTTCCCTCTGGAATTAAGAAGTCTAGATCTGCTTAGCTCAGGGGCCTCTGTCAGACCTGTGAATAGCAGGACGTGAGAAGTTTTTCACCTCATTACAAAGCCTTAGTACAACTAAGCCCATATTTAAGTGCTGCCTTCGAGGTCAGTGTGTCTGTGGGCTTAGTTTTGGGTACAGACTATTTAAAATACTGCCATTCTGCATTTTGCCTCCACTGGAAAATTCTTCTCTTTTCCTCTTCATTCACTGTAAGAAATTCTTCATCAAACTTTCCTTAACCAAACAGCCTCTTATATTAGGTAACTCTCTCTTAGGAATAATATAATCACTTAAAAAAAAACACTCTATTCTCTTGCTTGATTTGGGAAAATAGAACTATTTTAGTCTAAATTTCATGATTTTTTTTTTTTTTTTTTTTAGAGAGAGAGAGGAAGGAAGAAAGAAAGAAACATCAATGTGAGAGAGATACATCAATCGGCTGCCTCCTGCCCACCCCCTACTGGGGATCAAGCCCACAACCTGGGCATGTGCCCTGACTGGGAATCGAACCGGGACCTCTTCAGTCTATGGGACGACACTCAATCCACTGAGCTATACTGGCTGGGCTAAATTTCATGACTTTTAATTGCTTCTGGTCTAGGAGCATTTTTCCCCCTGAATCTTTCAGTGTCTTTCTTTTTTACACTCCTGGATAATAATTTGTCATAAAATAGCTGTTAATTTGTCAGAAGTATTTAAGAAATGATTACAAGTATCAGACATGGAATCTACATGTTATTTCGGGGCCAAACTATTTTATTATTATTATTATTTTTTATTTTTATTTTTATTTTTTTTATCCTCACCCGAGGACATTCCTTCATTTTTTTGTTCAGATAGAGCGGGAGAGAGAGAGAGAGAGAGGGAGAGAGAGAGAAACATCGACGTGAAAGGGACACATTGAGTGGCTGCCACCTGCACAACCCAACCAGGGCCGGGGAAAAACTGCAACTGAGGTACGTGCCCTTAGCGGGAACCGAACCCGGGTCTCTCTGGACCACAGGCTGATGCTCCAACCGCTGAGCCAAACCTGCCAGGGCCAAACTATTTTATATACAAAGTGATATTTGTGGTTTGATGCATTTTACTAAATACAGAGATCAGATTCTCTCTATTTTTCTGAGATGTTCTTTATAAACTAGTTGTCAACAGAGTACAACCTAGGGAATATAGTCAATAACACTGTAATAACTATGTATGGTGCCAGATGGGTACTGGAACTATCAAGGGGAGCACCTTGTGAAGTATACAAATGTCTAACCACTATGCTGTACACCTGAAACCAATAAAAAATAATATTAGCCCTGGCCAGTTTAGCTCAGCTGTTAAGAGCATCAGGCTATGGACCAAAGAGTCGTGGGTTCGATTCCAGTCAAGGGCATGTAACTCAGTTGGGGTTTGGTCCCTGGCCCTGGTCAGGGTCATGTTGGAGGCAGCCAATTGATGTCTCTCTCTCTCACATTTGTTTCTCTCTCTCTCTCTCCCTCCCACTCTATCTGAAGATAAATGGAGAAATATCCCCAGGTGAGGATTTAAAACAATAATAATGATAATAATATTAAATGTAAACAGTAACTGAAAAATAAAATTTTTAATTCTTTCCAAACAACAACAAAAAAAGAGGTTGAATTAAAAAACAATGTTCACTCGAGGGAGGTCAGTGAGAAACCACAATACAGATCCAGTAGCGGGATCTTCCCCAGCGTACACAGGGAAAAAGAACACTGGCCAGACACCCAGGGAGAGCCGGTCTGCTTCCCCTCGCCACTAACTCCGGGAAGTCCCTTCACACGGCTGACCTCGGGCTCTCACCTTGCCACGGCGTGGCGGACTGGATGGCGGGAGAGATGGCCCTGGAGCTCCTTCCAGCTCCAGTGTTCAGCCCAAACACCCGCACTCCAGTCCCGCAGCCGGGGCTTCCCTGACAGCAGGAAATCCCAGTCTTCTCACAGTTCTCAATCCCTGACTCCACCAGCGGGGAAGCCGAAATGTCCACCTACGCTCCACCCTGATCTGGGGTTACCGCAGTTCTGCAGAGGCCAAACTGCCCCTCAGATGTGCGTGAAAGATGAGTTCTGAGAAAACTCAGTGCTAAGTCTGTCTTACAACACTGATGTCAAGCACTGCTTCCCCAGAGGCGCCGGCACGCTGCCTGTCCTGTGATGCACACAGGGACGACTCTTACCGTCCCAGAAGGCAACTGAGGTACAAAGCATAATGGAAAAGCATCCCGTTAATGAGTAACTGTGACACAGTGACCGGAAAAACGTCTAAATTTTACAATGGACTCTCTTGTTGGAGAGTGGGACTTGGACTGTAATGAGTCTGATCATAGGGACATAGTTACTGAAGTGTTAAAAATACCAGTGTAACCTCTCTCCTCAGAGGCTGGCCCACAGCAAGCGGCCTGAACACAGTGACAGAAGGAGACTCTTTGGCACGGTGTGGGGGGAGAGGAAAGAGAAGAAGGGGGGGGGGGAGAGGTGGAGACATCCAACTTTTTTTTTAATCCTAATCCAAGGATATTTTTCTATTTATCCTCAGATAGAGTGGGACAGAGAGAGAGGGAGAGGAAGGGAGAGAGAGAGAAACATCGATGTGAGAGGGATACATCAACTGGTTGCCTCTTCTATGACCCGAACAGGGCCAGGGACGAACCACAACCAAGGTACGTGCCCTTGGCTGGAATTGAACCCGAGACTCATTGGTCCACTGGCTGATGCACTACCGCTGACCCAAACTGGCCAGGGCAGACACCCTATTTTTGAACCATGAACCACAGAACACTGAGGGTGAAGGAAAAGAAATGAGAAGGCAATCAGGTTTAAAGGATGAACAGACCCACATTCCATTTCTTTTCAGAGAAATTTAGCCCAGCCAGTGTGGCTCAGTGGATTGAGCATCATCCCATGGACTGAGAGGTCCCAGTTCAATTCCAGGTCAGGGCACATACCTGGGTTTCAGGCTCGAGCCCCAGTAAGGGGCATGCTGGAGGCAGCCAATTGATGTTTCCCTCTCACATTGATGTTTCTATCCCTCCTTCCCTTCCTCTCTCTCTGAAAAAACAAAAAATCAATAATATATATATTTTATATATATATAATATATATATGTTTTATATATATAAAAGAAGGAGAAAATCCATCTAAATTGTTAAGTTGCTATAGTCTTTTAGAAGTTAGTTAAAATTTTTAGTAAAAGTACAAAGAGTCCTTGGGGCACTAAAGAAGATAAAAGAATTCTCAGTACATACTCTACACTTTCAGAAAAAAAATATTAAAAATAAAAATAGTTTCCCAACTCAGTCATTTTTGGGGATTGCTAATTTATTCTTGATGGTCCCTCAAAAGAGGGAAAGAGGAGAAAAAGAATATACTTGGCTCCCACAACAAAAATTATTCACAGTTCTTTTCCTTCATAAAATAATGAACTATTAGATCTTCCTTTCAGTAATTTTATGGTAGGTCTGCAATTTATAATGCATATTTTGTAACCAAGGGAAAACAACAACAACAAGAGAATCATTTTACAATAATTCATTCCATGGATTTTTATTAAATTTCCAATCCCAAACCTTTCATCTCTCCTATAAAAGTAAAATAGACCAAGTTTGATATTCTTCTGTTTAGTCTAATCATTAAAATCGAAAGTTTCTTGACTGCCACCTACTGGTAAGAAAAGAAGTGACAGTTTATTTCTATAAATTCTGCATTTTCCTCTTAAGATTTTCCGGTTTAGGTGATAAAATATTTTACATAAAAAAAAGACTGCATGCTGTAAAATAGGATATTCAGAACCCTTCATATGTCTAAATGCAAATTAACTGACCATAAATTGCTAGTTTTTAAAAAAGAAATCAAAATGTGATGTTTTCCTCTTTTCAATTTAATACTTTTCCTAGTATTATTACAAGAAGTCACACACATTGTTGTACCTCGATTTAAATTTTGTTTTTAGATACATGGATGCTAGTCTAACAGATAATGAAATGAAACCTTACTTCGAAGATTAGCCTGTCAAATCAAATGAATTACATCTTCCATGATGAAACCCTTTCATGAAGGATATCCTTTATTCTATCTTTACAGACCAATAAAATGTGAAAATAAGAGGACAACTCCACTAATAGGGAGAATACACAATAGCAAAAGTAACCAGAACTTTTCAAGGTGATATATTAGCTTGAGGGGGAACATTTATATCTTCACCCTTTGCATATAGGAAGCATTTAGTCATTTGTAATGAATGAAACATACCTGGCTTAAAATGTGGTAAAGAATGAACTCCAGGCCAAGTGTCCTCATTTGGCGTTCCAAGAACCTAGTGGAGAGCAGGAAATTGTGGAAACAGACTTATTATTTCCAAAGCACTCAAAATTCTCCAGTGTAGAAAACAGTAACTGCATATGATGAAACTCTGGAATTTTTTTTTTTTCCCTTTCCATTATCGTGTGCCAGGAATTTCATTTCAGCAAAAAACAAACCCAGCTCAAGAGCCACCCAAGATGAATGTCTGTGTTTTAACAAATGCGGCGGAATGAGGTAAGACAAGTTAAATCGGCTGCATTTTATCAACTCCAAACTTAATAAGTAGGTTTAGGACTCAAATGATAAGCTCTCATCTTCATGGAGCGGAGTAGAGGATGGCATGCTCCTCGTGATTCTTTCATGAGCTTCCGTCTGTCACTCCGGCATCCGATGTCTCATCATCAAACAGGTCTAAGAGTTCTGTCGTTTCCCATCCTTCCTCCTCGGTCTGAGCATCGTCAGGTTTCAAAGCAGCAGGACTGACAGCCCGGAGGCTTGCATTCTCTACTGGCCATATGCTCATTACCGTCAACATCTTTAATTATGTGATTTATCGGCTCCTCGTCCCAAAATACTGTTCTCCCCAGACGTCTTCCTTTCTTTACCCACACGTCTGTCTACCTTCTTTCCCCGAGCGCTTTTCTATCACCACACTGTTTGATCTGGTTAAAGGAATTAAAGGGCAAGTCCAGCTCCCACATTAACTGGGCACGCTCCGTTTGAATTTCCAACCCCACCACGTATGGCTATTATACTCAGTGATCACGGTCAATCACCAGCTGAGAACAGTGGAGTGACGGGTTCAGAGCCCACACTGTGGAGACAGACTCCTTGTTACCCCTATTTACTTACACTAGTTATGGGACCTTGTGCAAGAAATAACCTCACTGAGCTTCCATTTTTTCATCTGTAAACTGGAGGTGATAACAGCACCTAACTGGCATGCAGCAGGCACTGTAGGTCCCTATCAGACAGTATTCAAAGCCCCCACAGACAACGCGGTCAGTGAGGAAGGGCTGGCCATGTGGCAGAACCTAGTCCGCTGTTTCCAGTGACCCCATGCTCTAACACCAACTAGCATGAACCAAGATGAAGGGTCAAAGAGGTTGGAAAGGGCAACAGATAAAGCCAGAGGCTGGAGAAACAGGAGGAATGGCAGGTTGCATGGGAAGCAATGAGGCATTTTCACTTCCTCTCCGGGGGTCAGCAGGTACTTCTAGGCAACGAGGAAGTGCAGAGCTCTGATTACTGATGCGTTTATTCACAGGGGACAGGGCTGTCCAGTCAGAGGGTGGCACACATACAGTGAGCACTTCACACTGCTTCCCACTCTGGTGAATCAGGGTTACATACACATATTGTGTTCCTCACTGAAACACTGAATCTAGGTTCTGGAGAGCTGATAATACTTTTTTTTTTTTCTTTTAAAACTATAATTGGCACTCGGCTGGTGTTGCTCAGTGGTTGAGTGTCGACCCATGCACCAAGGGGTCGCTGGTTTGATTCCCAGTCAGGACACATGCCCAGGTTGTAGGCCCGATCCTCAGTGGGGGGGCGTGCAGGAGGCGGCCAATTGATGTTCTCTCTCATCGATGTTTTTCTCTCTCTCTCCCTCTCCATTAACATCAATAAAGAAAAAAAAATGTAATTGGCTAATTTTGCAAGTGCTAATTAATCCTAACAGTAATAGGTAGATCTACACAAACAAGGTCATATTAATGATGGGTTGGGTGGGAGTGGGGATGAAAACAGGTGAGGGCTGGAAGAGTAGCAAGACCAGGAAAGAGACAAAACCACTGTGTCTGACATGAACAAGGGCAATACCAGTATCTCTGTAAAAGGCACCCCCTCCCTTTCTTTTCGCCAATTCTGACCACGATTTCAAGAGAGGGAGACAATCAGCGTGCAGTCAGCTCACTGGGAAGCTCCACTTGGAGCTCACACTGAGTTCGGGCGAAGGACAAAGGGGGGTTCAACGGTATTAAAACTTTAGCAACTGAAGAGAGGACCTTTCAGTTCAAATTCACGACTTGATCACAGCTAATCCATCACGTATGAAATAGACCCTCCGAAGGTTTGATAAACAGTGAAAAGTCCAGCCAGGACCCGAATCCCGTCCTCTCACTCCTAACAAAGGTATCATTGCTACCCTGACTGTACCCGTTTCCATGACGTTTGCATTAGCAAAACTTTCTCATCGGCACAGTCCTCATCCAGACCCAGTGTCTGTTTCAAAGTGATGATCAAAATACTATGGCCATCTCATAAAACTTGCTTGCAAAGAGAAAACAGGTGACTTTTTCATGAGTTGTGACAGCTGTGATTGATGAGACTGCAGATCTTAAATTCTTCTGCCTACAACTCCTGGGCCATGGGCACAGGAAACACAAACTGGGCAGCTAGTGGGCAAAGAAGAAGGAGGACTAAAAGTCAACCTTGCTTCTTATTAAGGCCTTTTTGGGAAGGACAATCTGGATGAGATGCAAGGCTGGAGATGACGGGGTGCTTGTGCCCTAGGGAAAGTGGGTGTGTGCTGTCTCATGTCAGAGTTTCACGTATATGAATCAACCAAGAAATTTCACTACCGAGATGCTTCTAAGTTAGAAACAACAAGAGGTATTCTCTAAAAGCCAAAAACAATCTCTTGCAAATAAAAACAGTTTAAAAAAAAATGCCATCTGCTGTGCCATCAACATTTAAAACGTGGTTTCCACATCTGTACATAAGCATATCGGGCCCATTTGAAACTTAAAATAACATGCTTTGAGATGCTTAAAGACTCTTCTACACATCCATGAAAGCAGCTTCACCTGAAGCCTGTGCGGTGGCTTGCACATCTCCCTGTTCCTTTACTGGTTCATCTCTGCTGGGCCAACATTTACTGTGTTTGTCACAGAAGACAGAGGGCTGAGGCCGGGCAGCACGAGCTGCCTTCGGCCTAAGTGCCGTCTCAGAGGGAGGGGGAGGGGAGAGCCCCCCGCAGGACTGCTCCAGTCTGCCCGAGGGCGGGGAGAACGGCTACACTGGAGGATCTGGTCGCAGGAGAAGGGACAGTGACTAATGGTTGGCCACGTAAAGAAAGGGTGGGAATGACAGGAATGCATTACGGTTAAAAGGAAAGGCTTATGTCAATATACTTTCTCCAAATCCCATGTTGCTCAGGCCCCTACACCTTCCCACTGGCTTCTCTTCCAAATGCCCCATGCCTAACGGGTCGGGTTAACGCCTATCTCTGACTCTAGCTTCAGCTCACGGCTCACTTTTTCCTGAAAGACTTTCTGGATTCTCTGGTCCAAGTTGCAGGTGGTGGTCTTTGTGATCACGGGGGGCTTTTTGCAGACTTTTATAGGACCTACCTACTGCCTCCTGATGCTAGAACACTTGTCTGTCTTTGCATTGGACCGTGGACTGCAGAGTGGAGGCCACAATGCTTGTTTTTGGATCCCTAGTGCCCATCATGTTCCATGCACTCAGTAAATATCCACTAAATGAATGAATGCATGAATGATGTCTACCAGTTGAAGTTTGATGTGACTGAACTGTTGACCGGGTTGTAGGATGGGAGGCTATGGCCTGAACTAGATCCAAGGAAACTGTATTTCATGTTTCAGATTTTCCCAAACTACAGATCCCAGGACCCATTGGGGGATTGTAAATTTCACTTAGCATGTTGGCATCAGCATTTTTCAAAAGAGAAAATATCACAGGGCAACATACATGGTAAAGATACACAGCGTTTTATGAAACTTCTGTTCAGGTCATGTGTGCACGCGCGCGCACTGTATATCATGATGTAAAAGGCATTTCTTACTGTTCAAGAGCCAGCCTATAGGGAACAAGAAGTTATCGGCTGAAGTCGAGAATACAGGAGATAAGCAAGTTTGGGAGCTGAGGGCAAACAGTTTAGTCCTGGGCCTGCTAAATGTTAGAAATGCCTGCAGTCAAGATAGGGGCTGTGTAGAGGGCGTTCAGAAACAAAGGCATGAATTTTAGGAGAGGGAGTTAGGATCCAGAAAAACATCTGGAACTCTTTAGCACACGTAGTAGTAGAAAGCACATGCCAAACCACAGCTACAAAATGGTCCCCCTTCCCCATGGTCACATAGTCCAGTTCCCTGAAGAGCATCTCTGGGAATTCTGGGACTTGGTATCTGTTAAGGAAAACAAGAGGGGATTTCACCTTATCAGTAAAGGTTTACACCGCCTGCCCCTGATGAACAAGGACTTAATGCCCTCAAATGTCTTCTTCCAGACTTTTCTATGCGCTGACAGGTGCAGCTAAAGCTCACCGATCGTAACGGCCTCTGAGGGGCAAAGAAAAGGCACTAAGAAGAAGAGGGCTTCTCTGCTACATCATCCACTTGACAAATTCTGAACTTCTAGAGCTCAGGGTTCAAGGACGAGTATTTGTCAGAAACCCTGACTTACCTTCTAAATTGTTCACGGTTCCACTAATTCTCACATGTGCTGGTCTTCGCTTTGGCACAGGCCCCAGGGCTGCTAAAAATGAGTCCCTGGGCTTTCTTTGCAGAACCACCGTGGTTTAAGCAGAAGCAGGAATGCTAAATGTTCTTCCCGGGTCAAGGGTCAGGGAGACTGGCAGAAGGATTCTGACCTAACGCAGGTGATGCTGGCCCGCACGGTACACACTGACAAAGGCCGTGGCACACGCCGGCACCCTCTTCAGTTTTCTGTTTTATGAGATGGGCGCCCTACAGTAGTGCTGGTGGTTCTGAAAGGACTTAGTAATGAAGCTAAAGAAATGGAGAGCATCCAGAAAACTTCTGTAACGTTTCGCCTAAATCTCTGCAAGTCCGCACATGCATCTCTACAATAATGGCTGCTTCACAGCGGTGCTGCTTTAGGCTCTGGAAGGTTCTTTCTGGCTCCTTGCTGAGAAGTCCTAAAGGAAACGCGTGACGAGACTCAGAATTCAACTTGGCCATTACACACTCCATTCTGGAACGGGTGGTATAAAGGTCAAAGATGAGCCACAGAGAAAGCAGGACCTCC